TTTTTTTCATATCCAAATAAAATAAATTTAAAATTGTTATTATGAGGGTATTCATTAGGGTAGAGCTGGTCTAAAATATCTAGAACATAAAATATTAATGGCTGTACTTTTTCACATTCATACATCATGTGGGCAGTGTTTTCATTTTTAATTTTGCACTGTGGGCAAAGTTTGTCTTTTCTTATTTTAAAATCAAACATTTTATCGTTAGTTGGCAACAAAAAGTGTGCTGTTTTAAATAGAATTTCGCACGCTTTGTTATTAGTATTACTTTTTTGAAGTTTTATAAAGAAATGTTTCCAATCTTTTTCATTTATATTTTTCATGCTTTCAAAAACATCTTTCCATTTATTAAATTTATAGTCTAAACGTTTTGTTGGTTTGTTTAATAATTTGTAAAGAGTTAAGACAGTTAAATTTTTATATTCGTATTTTGTTTTCCTTTTAGCTAAATAAAATGAAGACTTTTTAAAATCATAACTTTGACATTTCTTTAGAATTTCATTGTACCAATTTCTTGGCAGAGCTTTTGTAAGAATTTCTAATTCCTTTTCGGTCAAACCAATGCTTTTATGATGCAAAAAGCCTGGCTGAAACGTTTTAGTAATATCTGCTACAAGTATTATATCGTTTTTAATGTGAGTTTCGCTCGGAGTTAAAAACTTATTTGGCATCGTTTTTATCATTGAGTTAAAAAATAGAGGTTGATTCAAAATTTCTTCAATTTTTGTTATAGGTAAAAAATGTTTTTGTTTTAAACTATGCCAATTAACTAAGAGCTGAGAGTAAAAAGGGGGTAAGAGTTTTATTTGAGTAGGGATAGTTTCAATAGTTTGTTTGCTTTGGTTTGCATTTCTATATAGATTTAATATGTAAACCATAGCATCTTTCCACGGACCGCATATATTTTCGTTGTATAATTTGCTAATCCACTGCAACTGTATGGCCTTAAGTTTGTTGGTTAAGCTGTTAACTCCTGCGCCGCCCTCATTTATCTTTTGTTGAGTTTTAGTTTTGTTTAGTCTACATATTTTTCCCCCCCAATAAAAGTTATTAATTTTTGCTTCTATTTTATTTAGAATTCCGTTGCTGGGTAAGGGTGCTATAAAAGCTAAATGCAGTGCTTGAGGGATAATTAAAGAGTTTATGATTGTTTTTCTGCCTTTTATGGACAATTTGTATTTTTCCCATTTTCGCATTGAATTTTCCATTTTATTGAAAAGCTCCTTCCAGTGTGTTTCGTACTGGAATTTTGCGTTATTCGAGAAAAAAATCCCTAAACTTTTAAAAGTGTTTTCATCCCTATTGAAATTCAAATACTCGCTTTTGTCTTTAAAAATATTTTTGCCTAACCATATGCCTTGACACTTGGCAATGTTTATTTTAGCGCCTGTGGCTTTTTGGTTGAGTTTTAAGGCTTTTCCCACTTCTCTAATGGAATCATCTCCGATTAGAAAGAAGTTTGTGTCATCAGCGTATTGCTGTAATTTTGTTTCGCTTTCTTTTACATGTATACCTTTAATATTTTTGTTTTGTCTAACATAACATGAAAATATTTCTGCCTGTATGATGTACAAAATCATTGACAAAGGACAGCCTTGCCTTACTCCTCTTAAAATATCTATTTTTTCTGATAACAAACCGTTAATTTTTATTTTGGCATTTATATTGTTATAGATTGTTTTTATAAAAGATATAAATATTTTTCCAAATCCGAAATGTTTTAAACTATCAAACAAAAAAGCTCTATCAACCCTATCAAAAGCTTTCACCTGATCTATGGAAAGAATGCAAGCGTCTAACTTGCTTTTTTTAGCGATGCTTATAATGTCTCTCGTGTAACTTAGATTATAATATATTGTTCTGTTTTTAATGCAAGCAGTTTGGTTGCTATGTATTATATTTGGTAGAACATCTTTGAGCCTGTTGGCCAAAACTTTTGTTAAAATTTTATAATCAACATTTGTTAAAGATATGGGTCTCCAGTTGCAGATATCGTTTTTGTTTCCTTTTTTAAAAATACATGTTATTAGAGCTTCCTTTTGCGAGTTTGTCATTTCGCCTGTAAACAAAACGTTATTTAAACTTTCAATCAAGTCTTTTTTAATCAAATAAAAAAAATGTTTATAAAATTCGATGGTTAGCCCGTCTGAACCGGGTGATTTATTATTTTTCATTTGCCCTAGAGCTTGCTTTATCTCGCTTTCAGATATCTCTTTTTTTAACATTTTATTTTCTTCCTTATTAACTTTTTTTACTTTAGCATTTAGGAACAAAAATTCTTGAGAAAGTTTGTCGTTTTCTTTGAATTTGTATAAATTTCTATAAAAATGTTCAAACTCTAATAAAATTTCTTTTGATTCGATTTTAACATGCCCGTCTCTGCCGTTTATTTCTGAGACATATTGTTTAGCTAGTTTTTGTTTTTCTAGTCCGAAAAAAAAATGGGAGCATTTTTCTCCTTCTAATCTCCATTGAATTTTTGCTCTTATTGCCGCACCTACAGCTTTTTCTTTTTCTATATTTTCAAGTTTATCTTTTAAAACGTCGTGAAGTTTTTTCATATTGCAATTTAAATGCATTTTTTTTGATGCGTTTTTTAATAATTTAATTAATTTAAATTCTTTTTTGTTCTTTTGTTGTTTTAATTTTTTGCTAAATTTTTTCGAGATTATTTTTACTCTCTCCTTACCAGCCTCCCACCAATCCTTAACATTTTCATAAACATACTTCTGCTCTTCCCATTCTCTCCAAAACGATTCTATAAGAGCATTAAAATGAGTGTTTTCTAAATGTTTGTTATTTAAAATCCATATTTCTGACTTGAGAAAAAAATCTCCTGCGTTTATAAACGCTACTTGAGCGTTATAGTGGTCAGTTAATATGGTTGGCTCAAAAAACGTTTTTATGTTTTGTCTGCATTTTTTGCTGATATAAAAGCGATCGATTCTAGACTGGGAAACACCGTTAGTGGCTGCAAAAGTATATTCTTGTTTGTAAGGATTGAAGACACGCCAAGTGTCTTCAATTTCCAATAGGTTTAAAAGCGTTTTTAATATTTTACAAGAGGGACATTCAATTCTAAACATTGCTGGAAATCTGTCTTTATTTGACAAGGTCATGTTAAAGTCACCACCCATAACAATTTGGAAATCATTTAAATTTTTATCTTTAAATTCATTAATTAGTTCATTAAAAAAATTCATTCTAAGTTTTTGAGATATTCCGTTACCGGATGGTGCGTAAACATTAATTATTAAATAGTTAAAGCTATTAATTTTTATAGCTACGTAATTATAATTACCTTTCGAGTCATTTCCTAATAATAGTGGTTTTTCATAATTATGTTTAAATAAAATTGCAGTTCCTCTTGTATGAGATGTGTCAGAAGGAGAATAAAAAATATCACCTGCCCACACATTTTTTAGCAAATTAATATTTTTATTATTTAAACGCGTTTCCTGAATAAGAAAAACATCATATGGCTTGTTTTTGAAATTATTAACTAATGTTTTTAGCTTACTTCCGTTATTCAAACCATTAATGTTTGAGGTGTAAAAACTTAAAGGCTCCATTTTTAATTTTTTTTATTTATTATTATTATTACCCATTCATTCTTTATTAACACTTAATTTTTAACTCAAACAAAATGCCCTCCCCCATAGATCAGGAGAAAGCTTTTGAGCAAAAAAACCAGTAAAAAATTAGTAAAAACAAAATAAAGATAATTGAAAAAAAATAAAAAAATCATACCAACAAAAATTTCTTTTTTACAAAAGTCTTTATTTAACCTTGCCATTTTGGTTTTATGTTTCGCTTTTCTTTAATTACTGGTCTTTCTTTTATTGGAGTTTGCGGATGCGTACGTTTTCGCTCGTTTACGTTGTCACCCATCGCTATATCCACCTCAAAATCGTCTTCAACATCGCTATTACTGGAGCACTCGCCATCTTCTTTCTTCTTTGTCTTTTTTTCTTTTTTTTTGTTGCTTTTTTGACTTGACTTCGATGAAGGGATTCTCCACAATTACCAAATTTTCAACAGGATATTTTTGATTCTCGGATTTTCTAGCAGCGTCGAAAGCTGATTGGTATTCTTTTTGAGTCTCTACAATTTTTCTTCTAACTTCGTTTGGCAATGTGAGGCTGTCTTTATCTAAACTATCACAAGAATTTGTTTTATTTTTAGAATAAATAAAATTGTTTACCTCTCCTCGTGTAAATATTGTGTTTGATGTTATAGGAGATGGTGGTGTGAATTGAAAAAGTGTTGTTTTTTTTGCTTCATCATTTTCTTTACTCTTTTTCGTTTCGTTTGATTTTTTTCTAAAAATGAGTGTTTCATCGTTAGTTGGTTTCGGAGACACGCATCGTTCATTCGGCACATGAAAATTTCCACACCGTTTACATAAAAATTCCTTTCCTGCAAAATTTAGCATTATTTTTGTTCCGTTAATTTCAATTTGGTGAGGAACGTCTTTCACCAACACTTTGAGTTTAACTCGAAATAATCTTCTGCCGTCTTTAATGGTATTATCAAAATCGTACGTTGTGTGTTTGATTGAGACAACGCATTCAATGTAAGGTTGTAGTTTTTCTGTTAGCTCATCGTCGTTAATAGTTGGATCACATTTAATTGTGATAAGAAAACCATACTCATCTCTTTTTCGAAAAAAAACAGGCATCCTACATTCGGAAAGTGAAATTTCATTTCTTGACATAATTTCTGCGTCTTTAACTGACTTTAAAACGGCAATCCATCGACCATCACGATGGTACGTTAAGTTTTCAACTTTTCCACGGCCAATTTTTTCTTGAATTCGTTCATTTATTTCCTTCGCTCTTTCATTGATATACTTAAAAGAACCAGTTAGTTTATTGTCCATAAAAATTCTAAATTCAACAATACGTTCATCTAATATTTCGACCTTCCCAACGGCTTTCGCGTAGGACGCCATTTGTATTTTAGTAATAAAGATGATTGCGTGATGTTTACGTGACCTTATTTACGCAATAAAACAAGAGTTAATAATGCGTTTTTTCCGTACAAATTTTAAAATTGTTTGATTTACAACAAATAAATATTTGTTATTACTTGTGAGTTTATAATAAAATGAAAATAACTATTACATAGTACTTATTACATTTTGTCAACTATAAATAAACATCAAATGTATCACTTAACAAAATATATATAAAAAAAAAAAAGATCCTAACAAATGCCATTGCATTTTGTCATACTATTTTAGAACTAACATCACTAATATCGATAATAATTTAGCCGAGTTTAAACTTATCTTGTAATATGGAAATGATATTTTACTTACTTACTTACTTATTTACTTACTTACTTACTTACTTACTTACTTACTTACTTACTTACTTACTTACTTACTTACTTACTTACTTACTTACTTACTTACTTACTTACTTACTTACTTACTTACTTGTTTGCAAGTTTGCTTATGCTGCTATCTAAAGCAGCAAATTCAAAATAAAGCTTTTCAAAAATGCACGTAAATCTAATATTTTTTCATGTTTAAAAATAAGAAATAATATTGAAAAATGAAAACCGCAAAAGTGTGAAAAAAATTAACATAATCCCTTCAGCAAAGAGGCAATAACGAAGGCTCATACCAATTTTCATTTTTCTTTTTCATGAACCGAGCCCCAAACCCCGAAAAGACGAAATTGAGATATAAACTATTAAGGCGCATACCTTATTTACGCAATAAAACAAGAGTTAATAATGCGTTTTTTCCGTACAAATTTTAAAATTGTTTGATTTACAACAAATAAATATTTGTTATTACTTGTGAGTTTATAATAAAATGAAAATAACTATTACATAGTACTTATTACATTTTGTCAACTATAAATAAACATCAAATGTATCACTTAACAAAATATATATAAAAAAAAAAAAGATCCTAACAAATGCCATTGCATTTTGTCATACTATTTTAGAACTAACATCACTAATATCAATAATAATTTAGCCGAGTTTAAACTTATCTTGTAATATGGAAATGATATTTTACTTACTTACTTACTTATTTACTTACTTAATTACTTACTTACTTACTTACTTACTTACTTACTTACTTACTTACTTACTTACTTACTTACTTACTTACTTACTTACTTACTTACTTACTTACTTACTTACTTGTTTGCAAGTTTGCTTATGCTGCTATCTAAAGCAGCAAATTCAAAATAAAGCTTTTCAAAAATGCACGTAAATCTAATATTTTTTCATGTTTAAAAATAAGAAATAATATTGAAAAATGAAAACCGCAAAAGTGTGAAAAAAATTAACATAATCCCTTCAGCAAAGAGGCAATAACGAAGGCTCATACCAATTTTCATTTTTCTTTTTCATGAACCGAGCCCCAAACCCCGAAAAGACGAAATTGAGATGTAAACTATTAAGGCGCATACCTTATTTACGCAATAAAACAAGAGTTAATAATGCGTTTTTTCCGTACAAATTTTAAAATTGTTTGATTTACAACAAATAAATATTTGTTATTACTTGTGAGTTTATAATAAAATGAAAATAACTATTACATAGTACTTATTACATTTTGTCAACTATAAATAAACATCAAATGTATCACTTAACAAAATATATATAAAAAAAAAAAAGATCCTAACAAATGCCATTGCATTTTGTCATACTATTTTAGAACTAACATCACTAATATCGATAATAATTTAGCCGAGTTTAAACTTATCTTGTAATATGGAAATGATATTTTACTTACTTACTTACTTATTTACTTACTTAATTACTTACTTACTTACTTACTTACTTACTTACTTACTTACTTACTTACTTACTTACTTACTTACTTACTTACTTACTTACTTACTTACTTACTTACTTACTTGTTTGCAAGTTTGCTTATGCTGCTATCTAAAGCAGCAAATTCAAAATAAAGCTTTTCAAAAATGCACGTAAATCTAATATTTTTTCATGTTTAAAAATAAGAAATAATATTGAAAAATGAAAACCGCAAAAGTGTGAAAAAAATTAACATAATCCCTTCAGCAAAGAGGCAATAACGAAGGCTCATACCAATTTTCATTTTTCTTTTTCATGAACCGAGCCCCAAACCCCGAAAAGACGAAATTGAGATGTAAACTATTAAGGCGCATACCTTATTTACGCAATAAAACAAGAGTTAATAATGCGTTTTTTCCGTACAAATTTTAAAATTGTTTGATTTACAACAAATAAATATTTGTTATTACTTGTGAGTTTATAATAAAATGAAAATAACTATTACATAGTACTTATTACATTTTGTCAACTATAAATAAACATCAAATGTATCACTTAACAAAATATATATAAAAAAAAAAAAGATCCTAACAAATGCCATTGCATTTTGTCATACTATTTTAGAACTAACATCACTAATATCGATAATAATTTAGCCGAGTTTAAACTTATCTTGTAATATGGAAATGATATTTTACTTACTTACTTACTTATTTACTTACTTAATTACTTACTTACTTACTTACTTACTT